CACTTACTTCAAAAACCAATACCTTTTTCAACTCAATTTATCTATTTTTCCATTTATATACATTCATACATCACTTAACCAATAGGAATTCATTCTTAAAAATGAATCATTAGACTATTTTGTTTATAAACACTGTGTGAAGGCTGGCATATGTGAGATACCCAGTGGTGAGCTCCTGCCTAGCATGCACAAGGCCCTACATTCAATCCTCAGTACAGAAAAAAATCAATGTAAACACTGCATAAACATCAAAGAATGCACATAAGACAGCCATGATGTCACTAGGCTGATACAATCTTATAAGACTGCTGTTCTATATACAGTCTGTCATTGACATTCAAGGGTACTTAATTACTATTCTTGAAACTTTTCTGTAAGTTTCAAGTTATTTCAACATAAAAGTTTACAACTTGGTATGGTTAAGAACACAAGCCTTGGTCTAAACTAAGCAAGTTTACATTGCAGCTATAAAAGAGACACAAAATAAAAAGTAAGTTTTAAGATCTCTGTGTCTCAGTTTTCTCAGCTGTTATCTATGTTTCCTCAACAGATATTAGTTCATAGGATCTGAAGAAACAGTAAATTAATTAATATATATAAAGCACTTGGAATTGGGAGTGGCCCATTCAAAGCACTCAGTTCAGCAGCTACTTTCTAAAACTGTTTAGAACTTATTTAAGTATTATCTAAAAACTATGTCAGCATTTTGGTCAAAGGGAATCAAAGAACTTGAGATAAAAACTTCAGAAGTCAGGGTTTCATTGTTATTCACTAAGTGCATAGCTTGTATGCACCAACAGCAGAGCAGATGAAAACTACTGGGAATTCAAAGATAACATCATTAAAAATACATAAGGACCGAAGTTTTTCATTCATATTTTTTCAGCATATACAGCTCAAGTATACCAAAAAGAATGCATAAAATGCAGTTAATAAAATTAAAAACAATAATGAAATATTTATTGACTAGAGACTATATATTTTTATATTCATAGAACATGAACAAAAATCTATCATGTATTTTTCCACACAGAAATCATAAACTTATTCAAAATACTGCATCCAAAGTTCTTGATCATAATTTAACAAAATCAGAAATAAAAATAAAAGAAAAAATATTATTATACTTGGTGATTAAGAACTCATTGATAATCCACAGATTAAAAGAAATCAAGATAATAAATTATTTCAATGCTATAGATAGAACAGTTCAACCCAAAATGATAGGATGCAATGAAAAGTTAAACTAAGAAGAAATATTGCAGCCTTCCTTCTCTTTATCATTAAAGAAGGAACTAGAAACTTTAACAAAGGAACTTAATTATTATAAAAAGATCAGATTTGCTGGAGGTAGGCACATGCCTGAAATACCAATTGCTTGGGAGGCAGGAGGATCTTGAGTTTGAGGCCAGCCTGGGCAACTTAGTGAGACCCGGTTTCAAAATAAAAAGGGATGGGGATATAGCTCATTGGTGAAGCACCTCATGTTCAGGCCCCAAAACCACCACCAAAAAAAGAAAAAGTTGGATGGCTTAAACAACAGACATTTATTTCTCACAGTGCTGGAGGCTGGAAAATCTGATTGGGGTACCAGTATGCTCCAGGTCCTAGTGAGAGCTGTCTTTCTAGTTTGCAGATGAAGTCTTCTTGCTGCATCCTCTTATGGAAGAGAGAAAGAGAGGGACAGGGTAAAGAGATACATATTTTATGTCTCTTATTTTAAGGGCACTAATTCCATCATGAGGGCTCCATGCTCACGACCTAACTATCTCACAAAAGCCCCATTTCCAAATGCTATCACATTGGGAGTTGGGGTTCCAACTTATGAGTGTGATAAGGGAGGATCAAAATTCAGACCACAGCAATACCTGAAGTTCAAATCTTAAATGATGCTGGGAAAACTGTACATCCTATAAATTAAAAATAAAAATATGCCCTATCTCTTGCCATATACAAAAAGCAATTCAAAATGAATTAAAGACTTAAATATAAGATCCAAAATTATAAAACTACTACTAGATGAAAACAGGGGAAATGTTTCACAAAATTGGTCTGGACAAAGATTTTCTGAATAAGATTTCAAAAGCACAAACAGAGGCAAAAATAGACAAATAGGATTACATCAAACTGAAAAGCTTCTGTACAACAAAGGAAACAACAGAGTGAAGAAATAACCTATACAATGAGAAACAATATTTGCAAATGGTGCATCTAACAAAAGGAGTTAATATCCAGAGTATATAAGGAAACTAAGCAACTCCATGGGGAAAAAAAAAGAATCCAGTCAAAATTCCCAAATAACATTTGTGAAAAGAAGATGTACAAATGAACAATAAGTACATGAAAAAAAGCCCAAGATCACTAACTGGAGAACAGCAAATCACAACAGATGTAACCTCACCTCAATTAGAATGGCTATTATCAAAAAGACAAAAAGTAACAAATGTTGGTATGTATATGGGGGGAAGGCTACTCCTATACACTAGGTGGAAATGTAATTACTAGAGCCATTATGGAAAACAGTATGGAGGCTCTGCAAAAAAACTAAAATTAGAATTATCATGTGATCCAGCAATACCACCACTACCTATTATAACCAAAGGAAAGGAAATCTGTATGTTGGAAAGTTATCTGTACTCCCAGGTTCACTGCAGTACTATTCATAATAGCCAAAATATGGAAGTAATAAAAGAGTCCATCATTAGATGAATGGATAAAGAAAATGGTGTGTGTGTGTGTGTGTGTGTGTGTTTCTTGGGATACTGTTCAGCCATTAAAAAAAAAGAACAAAATTGTGTAATTTGCAGCAACATGAATGACCGTGGAAATCATGGTAAATAAGCAATATAAGCCAGGCACAGAGAGAAAATACCACATGATCACACTCCTCTATGGAATCTAAAAACAGCTGAACTCATAGAAGCAGACAGTAAAGTAGTGGTCACCAGAGACTGGGGAAGAAAAGAGAGATGGAAGGAGGGAGAAGAGATGTCAGTGAATAAATTTACAGTTAGCAGAAATACATTCTGGTCTTTATTGCACAATAATCAACAATAATGAATGGTATATTTCAAAATAGCTATAACAATGATTTGAATGTTCTCACCACAAAGAAATAAAATAACAAATGTTTGAGGTAAAGGATATGCTAAATACCTTGGTTTAAATATTACACAATGTATACATGTATCAATACATCACATGTAATACATAAATATGTACAATTATTTTGTGCCAATTAAAAATAAAACTAAAAATTAAAAATAAAACTGACCAAGATAGAAATTAATAATAAGCCAATCCCAAAAAACCAAAGGCTAAATGTTCTGTCTGATATACAAATGTTAACAACAAAGGGTATGGGGAGAAGAGAAGTTCAGTGGATTAAATGAAGGGGAATGAAGGGAAGGGAGGGGAGAATAACAACAGGAAAGACAGTGGAATGAATCAGGCATAACTTTCCTACATTCATATATGAATATACCATCAGTGTAATTCCCATCATGTTCAACCACAAGAACAGAATCCTAATTAGAAAAAGTTATACTCCATGTGTATATAATATGTCAAAATACTCTCTACCATCATATATATCTAAAAGGAACAAATAAAAAAAGAAAAAAATTAATGAAATGAAAATAAAGTAGCCATTATAAACTATCTAAAATCTTACTTTTTATTTTACTTTTTAATTGTAGATGAACATAATAACTTTATTTTATTTTATTTTATTTATTTATTTATTTGGTGCTGAGGATGGAACCCAGTGCCTCACATGTGCTAGGCAAGAGCTCTAACACTGAGCCACAACCCCAGCCGAAATCTTACACTTTTTAAAACTCAAAAAATAAAGAAACCTCTCCTAACTCTTCATGGAAAAATTATTCGTATGTGTGTGCACACAAGTGTATGTGTGTGTGATTAAAAACAAAAAACAGATTCCAGAGAAATTAAAATAATTATTTAAGAATATATGTTAGTATACAGCAACTAATGTACTAACTTAGAAGAAAAACAGAATTCCTTAGAGAAATATAAAAGTTATTAAGAAAACAGATCCAAATACAAGTAAAAAGCTTGAATAATTACCACAAAAAAGTATGAGCTCAAAAGAGTTCATTCCAAGAACAATTGAATGGCTCAATATTAGAAAATATATCATCATAAATAATTACATCGAAAAATTAAAGAATAAACCATGTGATTATAATAATGAGTAACAAAAAGTATTTTGTTAAAAAATTTAGTCATTCCTGGGCTGCTGTTATGGCTCAGTGGTAGAGTGCTTGCCTAGCACATGTGAAGCACTGGGTTCAATCCTCAGCACCACAAAAAAATAAATAAAATAAAAGTATAAAAAAATACAATAGCACTATTAAAAAATTCAATCATTCCTAATGAGAACTAGGTAATTTAGTGAGTAAATTAAAGTATTTAAGTATAATCTTAATGAAAAACATTATATATACATAAAAATAATCCTGGAATACTTCTCTGATTAAATGTCTAAGAGACTTTTTTTTTTCCCCTAGTAATGAGGATCAAATCTAGGGCCTCATGCATGCTAGCCAAGCACTAGGCCACTAACCTTTATCCCTAACCCTTTTTGTTTAGAAACAGCGTCTCACTAAACTGCCAGGCTGGCCTCAAACTTGCAATCCTCCTATCTCAGCAGCCCAAATTGCTGGGATTACAGGTATGTGTCATTATACGAGACTCTTAATATACAAATGCCTATATTCCTATATGACTATAGGAATTGAAAAGGGATGACAAATTTGGAATCATATATATGTATATATACATGCATATATACACACACATAAACGTATTCAAATACACAAAGCACATGTAATCAATTCTACCACTTTCCTCTAGATTAACACATATAAATGCCACTAAATTAATATATTAAAATGTATGTATTGCTTCACAGAAAATATAAATAATATACATAATTATACATTTGTATTTATTTTCTGTCAAAACACTAGTTTTACCTGTTTAGGAAGTCGGAACAAGGAATTTTTATAGAAAATATCCTTAGCCTGGCTCCATGTACCATCAATGATGATGATTGTAGAAGGATAAACAGGAGAATCTAATATAAATTCTTCCAAATCTGTAGCTTCAGCCCCTGGATATAATATTAATGTACTAGACTTCCGGCAGACAGTTGAAAGTTCAACATCTCTAAAAAACAATATATTTAAATTATCTTTATTAGCTGTGGGGAAAACAAAAGTTTTATGATATTCATTGAATTCCTAATAAAAGTTCCTCTCTACCTAGTTATTTATCTAATCAAATAAAAATACTAATTAGTTCATAAAATATAGGTTAAGTGTCTCACAATTTTGTGTACTCTACTGATTCGTTAGCCACAATTCTACCAGCCTCCCAGTCTTCACTACTCTTCTCCATCTAGACTTTTCTATCCAATTGCCAAGGGCATAATTTTAACCCTCCCAAAGAAAGATCTGTGTAGAAAAGAAACATCTTAAATTGCCCTAAAATTCATTTACCTTTCTTCACTAAAGCGACGACCAATCTTTACTTTACACTTGTCCTGGGGGAGGCATGCTGCTAGGAGAGGAACTGTCCGCAACACTTTGTTTTCCTTTAATGAAAAAAATTAATGGAGACATAGATTTTTTTACTTAAACACACTTTTAAAACATTTATAATGAGGCAGGGGCTGAGGCTAGAGCTCAATGGTAGAAAACTTGCTTAGTATGCATAAGGCCCTGGTTTCTATTCCCAGTACTACAAAAAAAAAACTATGGTCTGGATTGTAGCTCAATGGTAGAGTGCTTACCTAACACACATGAGGCCCTGGGTTTGAGCTCAGTACCACATAAGAATAAATAAATAAAAATAAAGGTAATATGTCCATCTATAACTAAAATAACAAAAAAAGTTTTTTTTAATTATGAACATTTGATTTATAACTTTACATATAATTTTCATAAATCTTTTACTACAGACCACAGTTTAATAAGAGGTAAAAATTTCTCTGATATATCAGCACTTAGCATAATATAAGTATATCTTTTTAATGTATGTAGATATGTTTTTATTCTATGTAGATATGTTCATAGGTTTACTTATCCAATAAAATAATATCAATCTATATAATAGGATTATGAAAAACATAAATTTGTGTTTAGATAAACTGAATTTTTTTTTGGCAAGGATTTAATTTCAATAATAACTACATTCTGTACTATATCAGCTTGAACATAACCGCCCAGATCTTTATGACTGGACAGCAAGAAAATACTCAAAAAACAAAACAATGGGGCATACCAAATGGTCACAGAAGCCCATCTTAAAGAGTTCCAGATGCTCTGACTGCAAATTGGTGCAGCCAATATAGAAAGCAGTATGGAGATTTCTTGGACAATTGGGAATGGAACCACCATTTGACCCAGCTATCCGTCTCCTTGGTCTATACACAAAGGACTTAAAAACAACATACTACAGGGACATAGCCACATCAATGTTTATAGCAGCACAATTCACAATAGCTAAACTGTGGAACCAACTTAGATGCCCTTAAATTAGATGAATGGATAAAAAAATGTGGCATATATACACAATGGAATATTACTCAGCAATAAAAGAGAATAAAATCATGGTAAATGGATGGAGTTAGAGAAGATAACACTAAGTGAAGTTAGCCAAGTCCAAAACACCAAATGCCGAATGTTTTCTTTGATATAAGGAGACTGATTCATAGTGGAATAGGGAGAGGGAGCATGGGAGAAATAGACAAACTCTAGATAGGGCAGAGGGGTTGGAGGGGAATGGAGGGGGCATGGGGTTAAAAATGATGGTGGAATGTGATGATCATTATTATCCAAAGTACATGTATGAAGACACAAATTGGTGTGAATATACTTTGTATACAACTAGAGGCATGAAAAAAATGTGCTCTATATGTATAATAAGAATTATGATGCATTCCACTGTCATATATAAATAAAAAAGTTTAAAAAAAAGAGCTCCTGATGCTCAAAATGGAACAATTTGAAAAAATAAATAAATAACATAGTATTCGACTATAAAGCAAAGTATAATATGGACTAGAATGATATAAATGATTGAATAAATAAGTAAATAGGGGAGAAAAAAACAAATCTTCCTTACAGTACAATTCCAAATAATAAATGTAAATACTCCCCACTCCAAAAAGTGAAGCTGTCTCCCTCCCATTTCAATGTGGACTAGAATTATAGCCTTGCTTCCAAAGAATAGAGAGAATGGAAACAGAACCAAATAACTTTGAAGAGGAGAAATCTAGTGACTGATTCTGAAAATTCCATTCATTTAGCCATCATCAGTGATTTTTTTCCAATATTCTAGCCTTCAACATTGGGAACCACCTGTCTTGTTACCACAAGAATTCTATCTTAAATCCTGTTAAGACAGATGTTTAACTATGTTATTTCATAACACACTTTCCTCCTTAACATCACTGTGAGTTTTTGACATAGATTTAGTCACTTTCTAAAGTCATTTTCTACATACATATATACCTGCTCTTAAAAATGCTCTATCCTATCACCTCTATATAATCTCCAACAAGTCTTCTTTTCCCAAAGCCCCCTTCTGAGCCTATCCAAATGCTTTTTACTCACTTTTTTATGGGACATTCATCAAATTGACATCTTTTTACCAAAAATAGTGTCCTGAAGATAAACATAGGCAGCCCGGAATTACTAAATTACAGAAAGACTGAAAAGTTACTTTGTTGATAAAGAAAAGCAATATGGGGATATTTGTGTATGCATACAATACATATGTAGCATGCACTATTTTGGATGGATCATCTAAACTGTGGATTAACTATGGTTAAAAAAAATTTAAGAGATTTGAAATATATTAAAATTTCCACCAGTTAATGAAAACACCTACATTTTAAAAGCCATCTTATGTCTAGAACTACATAATAATTCCTTCTGTAAAAGCCAGATTGAATTTAAGATGTCCTGACTTCCTACAAACTCAGTTTAAGCTTCAGTTTATATTAAATTCATTCATACTATGCAATGAGTAATTTTGTATTAACTAATTAAAAGCTTCCTATAATCTCCTTCCCTCCCCTCTCATTACTGTAGTTAATCAAAGGTTAAAAACATATATATACAATGGCACAATATAATTGTAACCAGAATAAAAAAATTAATTAAACATCTTTAAATATATCACACATATTATAAAATATAAATTTGCTCTATTCATCTTGAAGAAACTAAAGATTTTTTTTACTTTTTTACTCTGTATGACTAAAATGCCAAAGCTACTTCTACTTTTTTACTTTGTATGACTAGAATGCCAAAGCTACTTCTACTTTAGCAAGAAAAGACATGAAGAAACATAAGCTATGACCAAAATTTTTAAAGGAAAGATTTTCTTAGCTCTTTACTTACAAAATTACATTTTTCTTCATACAAAAGTTGTTGGAGTTCTAAATGTATACACTAATGTTGAGAGCCACAGCCTAAGGGGCCCCAGCAAACTTCCAGCTGCCAGCAAACTTCCAGCTGCCGGCTGATGATTGGCTCACAGCAGCCCCAGCAACATCTAGCTGATTGGCTCCTCTGCGGTGATGCTCATTGGACTGTTTCCCTGCCCTTTCAGACCACGGAGCTGCTCATTGGGGGACTTTTTTGGCTCCGCCCACGTGACCCAGCCAATCGGCCTCAAGAGCAGGAGGATTGTGGGAGGTGGAGAGAAGCTTGTGTGGGAGAGAGAGGCTTGTGGAAAGCCGGTGGTGGCAGTTGAGGCTCTGAAGGTTTTTCCTGAGAGGCTGTTTTGTTTGGCGTGTGTGGTTCTAAAAATAAAGTTAGTTTCTTTTGACAAGTGGCTCCTGATTGTGCCCAGCCAGACTGCGGCACACTAATAAAACCATTTTATGAAACATGTTTCTAAAGCACTTGATTCTATATTATCATATAATACATAAAAAAATTTCTTCAAAAAAAGTAAGCATTTATCAACTACTTCTTCTTGAAATGCTAAAAAGCTGGGAGGGATGAGTATTTATCTCTGTGTTTCCTCTTGTGCACTCATATTCTATCTGAAATAGTATGGTTTATAAAATCTTACCTCTGCTGGATGCTGAATTATGTACAAATGGGTAGAGATGTGCAGAGGGTGTACTGGTAGAAATGGACACAAACATACTTTCTGAGGTCGGCTAAAGAGCAAAAAAGAAAACAACCTGTAAATTTGTAAAATATAATGATATGACGATATCCTAATACTTAAACATAATCCCACTATGTTATATAAAGAGGTTTGCTAAAGCTGTAGTCTTTTCAAAATGAAACACCAAGAATAAACTTAATTACTCAGTCTTTAGACATGAAAATTGGGAAGAGATTTACGTAAATTCTTTATCATTCATACAAATTAAAGTACCTCAAAGAGTCTTCTTACTGAACGAATACTTTTAAGTCACCATGGACTTTTATTTATGAAGAAACACTTTTTCTAACTTTCACGCTAAATTTACCTTTAATGGCCTCAGTAAAAAGGTCCAATGAGACTAATTTTTTAAATAATAAATTGAATTGAAACATTATGGCCTTTTAAAATGTAGTTTTGAAAAATCTAAATAATTAAATATAACTCTATAGAAATCAAGTTATCTCAATATCTTAAAACCATTAATATTTACCAACTGTGCTCTAAAATTCTATTAAAAGTTGATTGTCTGAAGTTGGTTAAATTCTTAGCCCACACCACTAACACTGATTTAATCCACAAATCTCTGCAATATTTAGAACATTTTTAAGTACAGTATCTAAGCAGAACAATTCTGTTCATGCTGTAAAACATTCCTCTCTCCTCTTATTTACAAATTTCTCTTACTCCCAGAATTTTTGAATTCACTTTAATTATAGTCATATATATTTCCTTTATGCTTCTACTTATATTTCTATTTTAAAACTTGACTACCCTTATGATTTATTTTATTTTCATATATGCTTTTCTCTTTCAGACAATGAACCCTCTAAGAACATGCTTTTCATTTAAGTTTGTATCATCCAGGGTAGTCTTTCTCAAACTTCAGCTTATATCAGAATCACCTAGAGGGCACATTAGACTGCTGAGTCTCACACCTTTAGAGCTTCAAATACAGTAAGTCTGGGAATTTACATCTCTAATAAGTTCCTGGATGGTGCTGATGTTGCCTATGGGGGAAGAATAAGGTCATGAAAGACAAAAAGACCAGTTTGAAATGCAAGTCACTAGAGGTGTCCACCCAAGTGAATTTTTTTTTAATTTAAGTAACTTTGAATTCATTCGTATCTAAATCCTTCCAACTTACCTATACATGCACCTGAGGACTGGCAAAGCCTGATAAATTTTTGTGAGCAGTAGTGAAAGAAAAACAAACTACAAAGCTGTGGGCAAAGAAATTAACCAGACCATTTTCCTCTACTTGAAAATATGACCTTCACTAATTAACTAGTTCTGTTACCCTGGCTATCTGACAACTGTATTGCTAAGCAACACTGTATGTGATTAAAATGATCCAACTGGTAGACAGCATATAAACTGGAGAATTATAAAGTGATGGGGATACCTTACTTTAAGCTTCCCTAAATTAGGACCCTAGAAATTTGCTAGAGAGTTACAGGAGATATTGGCTCCTGGAAAATAGCAATGTAGGTTCCCATTACTAATCAGTGTGGAAAATCATCTTCCAACTCATGGACCTCTATGCTAGACTGCCACAAGAGAAAAGAACCAAGGCTGCTCCAATGCAAGCTGTTGCTTTTGTCCTATATGTTATATTTCTGGCAACATATGTGGTCTATAGTTTTGTTAAGCACCTGCTGCCAGGTGCTTTGCTTGGCATCCTATCCCAGATATCTACAGAGTTTAATGCATTTTGTGGTCTTTGCACCAATGCCCCTTTCTAAAATAGTGTCTCTTCTCCCACTATTACCCTCAATCTCCTTACCCTGATTTTTCTTCATAATGTTATCATTATTTGGCATTATATCATCAGGATGTATGTTCTCTTTCCTGCAATGTATGTTACAGGAGAACAAGAAATTGGCCTACCTTTCTCACTGCTATATTCCTAGCATTAGTAGAGTAGGCTCTCAAAAACATTGTTGAACACAGGAAGGAATATCTCTACATTCCCTCTTACCTTCACATTGGGATGCATTTCTCCTACAACACAATTTCCTATCCTATACTTTTATTTTCTTCCATAACAAATTTTGATCTCTCTTCCATGTCCTCTATAGCACTTGCGCAATTAGTTTGTAATATAAATGAAATCCAGACTGTAAGGTTTCCCTATTATATTTCGTAATCATTTTAACAAGTGACAGTCTATAAGAGGCAAAATTATTTGCTGAAGAAAATATTTACTAAAGAAAAACACAAGCACTTTATGTGTAACAGTGTTAAATGTGATTTAAGCTAAAATTAATAGCTTTGGCTAATGTTTTGATATTTTCATAAAATATCATTACCTATTTTCTCTAAAGCATATCTCTTTTATTAACCTAATTTTAATTAAAATTACTATAATAAAATTATAATTCTTTAAAACACTTTATTTTTTTCAACTAACTTCATATTTAGCAAGTTACTTTATAACCAGAACTTGTGCTTGTTACCTTAATATTAATCCTTCTCATGCTTTCCTCCTCTACATGCTCTGCATGCATTATCATAGTGAACAGGTCTCCAACTATTAAACCATCTCTTACTAAACTAGTAAATAAGTGCAGAGTAATTGCTAACCTCATTCTAGAATCTTTTTTCAAAGAACAAAAATATCACCCAACACCCAAACACAACTCAAAGTTTTAAATATTACAAATGGAAAACAGACTAAATGACTTTAAATGCAACAAATTTTTATTCTAATATTTACTATACATCTAACCACATGCCTGACATTAAGTGCTTGAGACAATAAGCAAAGACTCCTGCTATTATGGAGCTTATTTGTTCTCACTCTGCCAGAAAGAATTTTCTGAACACTCTTTGCCTCCTATGAACTATTATATTTGACAGGTAACTAACAATCACAAACTTCACACCTAAACAGACTATCAGTAAATAAAGAGCATTCATTCTAAAATAAAAATCAAGTTACTTCTAGGATTTCTTTTTTTTTTTTTTTAAATTTTCTATAGTTCTAAGGAGTTAAAAAGAAATCTAAAGAAACAAAAACTGGTCAGTAGATAGAGGGTTGATGAATAACTACCAAAATGTGTCACTGACAATGTCATTGTCTTGGGCATGTCCCACATTTCCAAAGTACTTCTTGATAAAACTACTAACAATGAGACACCAAGAACGTTCTAGGGAATAATTACTGAATACAAGCAAATATAAAAATGTAATCATCAATGTCTAGTTTTTGAGCTAATTTATAACAGAATGGCCAAAATAAGAACTGAGGTTTTCCATCCACTACATTTACAGGGTTATAAATGTATTTTAAATAATGTTTTTCTACTCACTAGAGTTTATGTTATTCAAAATCTATACAACACAATTAATGCTAATTATATTCTTAAAATATAATGGAAGCTTCAAACAATTTCCCTAAGGGAATTTTATAAAGTAAGTTTTTTTCTTCTTTTCTCATTAAATATGTAGAAATGAATAAGATTGACTTGCCTTGTACCCAATACAAGGGTAATCTGTCACTCTGAGCATGCACTCTATGACAGCCTGTGGGATAATAAAATTATATCTGACATACAACTAGAGATGCTGGGACCCACAAAATCATCTTTGTGGACTGGGGTTGTGGCTCAGTAGTAGAGTGCTTATCTAGCATGTGTGAGGCACTGGGTTCAATTCTCAGCACCACTTATAAATAAATGAATAAAATGAAGGTCCATCAACAACTAAAAATATATATATATAAAATAAATCATCTTTGTAAAGCTTAAATTTCATACATAATATTCACTGAAAGATTTTTCCTCATAAGTACTGATTTTAGCCAAGATAATCTCACATAAATAAACTTTAAAGATTAGTAATTAGATGCATAATTACTACTTTAAAGGATTTCTTTTATCCACTCAACAAAAGCAAATGTAGAACCCAGAAAAATAGTGCATCTCAAATTTTCCAGGATGCAATAAATTTTTATAATCCCAACAAAGTGAAAAGACAAAGAACAAAAAGGTGTATGCTTTTTCATTGGGTTAGTTGAATATCTACACTGCATTACACATAAAAATGGCAACAGCTTTCTATTTTTAATAGGCTTTGGAAAAGAAAATACCACAGTGCCCTCTGCTGTCTTTTAAAGAAACCAAGATGATCCTTAAGATAAATGCTAATTTTTAAATTTCTGAAATTACTTACTCATCATAACCAATGAAAAAAGAAAGATCTTCATAAATTGTTAATATAATATTATAATGAATTTTCATTTCACAAGTCAAAGAAAAGTAGGTAACATCTTCCATGTTTGACTGCTTCATGTAAAAATAACAATATACCACTCCCAATTTATTTTAAATTAGATTCATAAATTTATCTTACAACTGACTTCAGGAGTGAAGGAAAGACAGACTTAAAAGGAAAAAAAATCACTGTTGTAAAATAGGTAGTAATTTTATAACAATAAATATCTTTAGATGAGAGTTTCAGAGACCTGTGCCCTAGAAAGCATGACTAGAGCAGTGGAGAAATCAGCAAGATCATCTAAACTGTAGATTCATATCTTTCTGCTGCTAACAATGAATCTTACCCTGATTATATATAGTGCTTTTTTTTATAACTTTATGTATTTATTTGTTTATTTATTTTTATGTGGTGCTGAGAATCAAAACCAGTGCTTTATGCCACTACCTTCACAGTGCTTTGAAGTCACTAAGAATAATAATAATAATACATAATACTATGATTATTTAGCACTTTAAATCATTTATTTCATCATCATTTATTCCTTCTTAGTATCTATTTTTTTATATAAGCCACATCATCAGTATGTAATAAATGCATGTAATTATAAATACAAGTATACATATTAGAAATGTAGCCTACTATTTTTATTCAATTGTGGTATGTCATCAAAATAATCTTTACTACTGGCCTGGAAATAAGCTTGTTCTTATACTGGATCTATAATTAAGGAAAGTTTCTGTGAGTGTTATTCTAATTAAAGAAATCTTCAGAGATGCCAGATGTCTGCTG